GTCTCCGCAGAGAAAACTATTTTTGTCCTTTGGAAAAGAGCGTATGCCAATTTATGTTTCCATTGTGTCGGAACAAAACTCAGACAGTGCGAGTACTACCCTGCGCATGTTTTCTTATGGAAAGTGTGCTTCAGTATTAAATTGGTTTCATTTAGTAACACAACATGGCCTTACGTATTAGATACTTGTTCTGAGATAGTTCAGTTGCACATGTGATGGACTGATGAGCGCTTGGTAGGGTTACTCTGCATCTATTCAACCAAATAAACACATTTTAAGAGGAATTATTTGCTTCTGCTAGGACCGCTGCATGGATTCCGAGCAACAAAAACCTTCAATCGGTAGGCCCAATGCAGGATTGGTGAGACCGGTGTTATGGCTCCTACCGTTTCTCATCCTCCTCCTGCTTCTAACCGCCGTTCTCGAACAGAAACCTCGGACACAAGAGCCCCTGATAGTCATTAGCCTGGACGGCTTCCGTCATGATTACATAGAAATCGTGAAGCGACGCTTTGGACACATTAGTCTTCCGAACTTTGACCGGTTAATGCGCGAGGGAGTGCGTGCCATGCGTTGTATCAACGTGTTCCCCACGAGTACCCTACCCAACCACCAGACCCTTGTAACCGGTCTTTATCCCCAACACCACGGAGTCACTGCAAACACAATGTTTGATGAGCGTCTGCCTGGACGCGTGCTTTCCATGCTCAATGAGACCAGTCTCAGCGAGGACCCCTGGTTGGACGGGTGGCCGGAGCCCATTTGGCACACAGCACAGCGCCACGGAGTTCTTACCGGCACAATGTTATGGCCAATCACGGATAGGCCGGTGGACGGCGATGTGCCGTTTCAGCGCATGTCACAGTTCAAGTACAATGCACCAGGCGAGCTACACTATCCCAACAAGAGGAGAGTGGATGATGTGATTGGTTGGCTGACTAGCAGTCGCTATAACCTGGGCCTTGTGCTTGTCTATTTTAGTGATATTGACATAATGGGGCATTTCTTTGGACCACATAGCGTGCAGGTGAGCATTGCAGACCTTTATAACATGCATATACATTATAATCATTTTTATTTTTCAGTTTGTTCTCTGTAATCTACCTAAACTCTCCCCTAGCCGTCTTGCCTAGATTTGACTAAATAATCGATGTCCATTTTCGTGTTTGCTGCATTGTCTAACACACTTTTGGTGCAATCAATCGCCTATCTCGGGAATTGATAACTAACATTTTGAAATGCGATCATGGTTCAACACACTGTCGAAATCCATTTTCCGCTTTCTACTACGTATAAACGTTGAAGGCAAATAGGTTCTTTGGGAGAATTAAGTTTGTAAATTTTCGATGTTGGTTCTCAAGGTCGTCTTCAGACTTGGGTAAATTGGCAAAAAGTTAAGGTGTCAAACTTACTCGAAAAATTGATAATAATGTGGCATTTCCACCAATAAGCAGCCGCCATGTGCGTCAGTCTGTATTGGTTGGTTTTTGCGCATTAACTCAGGTCTGATGACGACGTGCTTCGAAAAGTTATCGAATTAAGTTCAATACCTTCCTAAAGAACTAATTTACCTCCGCATTAGATTTATTGAGATTCCTGTGATCCAATATATACTGAGAAAGACAGATAGACTGGAATGATTCGAGAACGAGCCTCAAGACAGAACGAGTCGTGTGAGTCCCATGACCGATCCCTGAACGTAGGTGGGCTTGCGTCCTGCAATATACCAAAATTTATGAAATATTGAAAGTCACTCACAAAATGGCAACAATGCATGTATCAATGTTTTTAAATGATACTGAACAACCACTTTTTTAAAAAAGCGGCAAATTACGAATACGGAAAAAAATCGCTACAACTGTGAATAAAAAATGGGAGAAGTGATTAAGTAATCAATGCCCCTTAGAAATTTTAAGAAGTATATATTATTGCAAAAATCTATGAGTCCCCTATGCTTTTTTCCGAGTAGTATGGAGGAATGTACGATTTTCTTATATGGAAAGTATAAAGCTTGCACTTTAGGAGTCCTGAATACAACGGTTTCAAATTTGAAACGTGATTTACTGTCAACTACTTACGAAATTATATGTTTTCGCACACATTTTCTGTAAAATATATTGGAATTTATAAGGACATAAAAATAAACAGTCAATATTCGCACTACTTAAGTGGTTAGTTTTTTTACTGTAGATAATTTTGCAGGCGACCGAAGGGGAACGCATCCGATAGCCATTATTTCGTCGTGACTTAATGGTCTTGGAAACATCCTACAGGAGAATAAATCTGAGAACCTTGTCTTTTCAGTTCAGCTTTATTAACGGAGGGGAAGGCAAACACCTTCGATCAGTGACTGCGAAATGCATCGATCCAAAAGAAAAATTCAAAAAGGGGTTGCAGACGAAAAGTGAGCACCCGTCGGTTAGTCGAAAAGAGTAAATATAGACGACTACTCACTTATTTCAAGTAGTATAACCGAATGTATTCTGGCAGGTCACCTCGGCATATTGGCGATGCCAAATGACGCGAGCCAATAGGGGGAGCAAATCAAAAGGAGCAGACAGTAAAAAAAACTCCTTGGTCATCATTCGAAAAATATACAAATTTGAATGCGATTTGAGGACTGTTAAGGAGGGAAAACTGTGGCTAATGGGAGAAAAATATTTTGCGAGCTAGGACCGTCCTGCCGATGAGTGCGTGTGAGGCGAGACGGGGGGAACCCATCGCGGGCATTATCATTATACTAAGGGTTGCACGAGAAGGGGACAGTGAAGGTCATCGCCAATGTGCCAGAGATGTCCGCCGAAAAGGTAGCGAAAACAGGAGATCCCGCTACGAGCGACAGCACTCCGTTGCGAGTCGACAAGAGGGAGAACGTTACAATGCTGCTTCCAAGGTGCGGTAGGGGCGATGGTTAACGTGATTTTTGCAGTTCGCATAGAGACCATGAAGGCACCTCGAATGGCATGGGTTCGTGTTATAACGTGAGGCTCGTGTTACTTTCTGATGACGTAGTGGCACGTATAGCTGTACTGGTCAAGTTTTGTCTTGATACAAGATATATTTCACAATTTCAGTTCATGTTTGATGAGATACACCGCCACCTGCATATTAAATAAAGGACTAAATATTTCGAATGTTTTGCCGTTTCTACAAACTAGGAAGATATAATTCAATATACAGCGCAGAAATTCGTAAAACTGTATGCGGCTTCGGAATTCATAAATTCACTGCGACCGTTTTTGTTTTATTTACAATAAAGCAGGTTGATGCTATTAAACTTGAGTTTGGACGGTCTTTTACAAAAATATTCTGTCTCTGAACACTCGATTAATTTTTCTGGTTATCCACATTGCTAATTGCTATCTCATCCCTCGTCTTGTCCCCTTGCCTCCCAAGATCGAGACCCCTTAGGAAGGGCTTTAAGTAAAGCCGATGTTTGTTTTCAGACAGCCGAAGCAATCATTCAGCTGGATGGAGTACTGGGGTACTTTCTAGACAAGCTTGAACAATATGACCTTCGCTGGCGTACCAATCTGATTGTCTTGTCTGACCACGGAATGACCGAAATTTCGAAAGATCGAATAATTGTGCTAGAAGATTTTGTCGACTCGAGCTGGTACACCTTTCCACAGTTAACACCAGTTGGTCTTATTTATCCTGTCCCGGGTACGACGGAAAGTGCTACATCATAGCGTCTATCACGTTCGTACAGTTGCATGTTGTGTTTTCATATTTATTCGTTCTTTTTAAACGGTCTAGTTCCAACTGTTTGACCGTCAATTTCAGAGTCACTGTACAACTGCCTTCCTTATTACGTTACGTTCCGTTTCAATTTCTTCAGTATGGTTGAAAACGTGTAAGCCGGGAATTTTCTTTTGCTAGTTGAAACATTTAAAGACGGCAAAAACAGCAGAATTTATTAGATCCATGAAATTTCGAGAGTGCTCTTCAGCTGCTATCTCCCATTGAAGAAATACAAAACTGAATTCGTATAGAAAGGTCAATAAAGTCATAGAGCATGGTCACGAAGATTAATTAGTAAAAAAAGCGAGTTAAAACAATTTGGAAAGAAAAAACAGGAAAAAAGCGTTAAGACGAAAAGGTGGGCAGGGGACTGAGTAAATCAGGGAGCAGGATGGTAGCAAGGCAACGTTAGGTTAACCCCATGCTCCAACTGTTAACATTGGTTAGGTTTTGACGCCGTATATAGGCTGCCTTCAGGTAGCACAAGGTACGAGTTATTCGTGCCCGCCACTTCCAACTGTGTTTACGAATTCACATGCACTTGCGGGTGCAAGTACATAAGGCGAACGCAACAGAAATTGGCAGCCAGAGCCAAGGAGCACTTGCCTAGTTGGCTATTTAAACAGGAAAATAGAGCCCCTCGTTATTCCATGGCAGAACATTTGCTGGATACGGGTCATTCTGTGAATCCTAAAACTGCCTTCCGAGCGCTTATTCGGGTACGTGCAACTCGCATCTTGCGCTACCTGAAGGCAACCTATATACGTTGGTCAAAAGCTGATCTATGTAAATAGTTGGAGCATGTGTTTAACCTAACTTTGCTTTGGTGATATCCGGCTCCCTTATTTACACAGTCCCCTGCCCACCTTTACAACTCAACACTTTTCCTCTG